CATAAATTGAAATTTCTACACTTCAACTTCTTAGAGAACTAGTAAGAAAAGAGATACACCAAGCTGTAACTTCACATTATGAAGAGAATGTGTTTGTGTTTTAATCAAGTGCAGTGTTTGTCTTAGTAAAAGGAAATAATAATGCAGACTTCAATATCTGAGACGACTTAGATGAGTTAGACTTCTGAACTTACCTCCACACCAAAACCCTTGACATATACATTCGTAAAGAGCTCAGAAGTATCAGGCATAGGACTCTCCTGCAAATATTAAAAAGGGGTATATGTGAGTGAAAATCTAATTCAAAGCAAAACAAGTAAACAAAAAAAAAAAGAAGCAAAATGCAGCAAGAACCTTTGCTTTCGCAATGGCATCATCGACTTCTTTTCTGATTTCTTTCTCCATGTCCTGAGACAAAAGAACAAGTTAATGAATCATAATAATACAGAGAATATACCACTAAATGAAATTGCATCTCTAGTCACGACTGTCATTATACATCACTTAAACATTAAACATATTTGACATATGATATGATACCTTGAGCTCAGCAGCAGTTGCTAGGTCATGAGCCAAAATCAACTTCCTAACCCTTTCAATTGGATCACGCTCCTGTTGGCATGATAAAACAATAATTCGTTAAAAACCAAACATCTGGCGTTAATTACACCACAAATTTAAGGGTCACAGGATCCTCACCTGTCTTACACCTGAGATCTCATCCCTGGTACGGTAAGTGCTTCCGGGATCTGACATAGAATGGCCATGGTACCTGTAGGTATCCATTTCAAGAACCTAAATACAAAGAGTGGGGAAACATTAGTAACCATCACTTACTAAAACTGAAACATTTCATTAAGGGTGAATTGCTACAAACTGCTAGCAGGCACAACCATGTTAAGTCAAGTACCAACAGGACTTAAGCATCCATAGAGTAAATAAATCTGTTACTTAAATTTAAGAGTAAATTTCACAAAACTACATGTTTTATGGTTCAAATTGTAGAAAACCACACACATTTTGACACTTGGCACTTAAGTACATATATTTTGGTAGTTTAGTTTCACAAAACCACGCTATCGATAAATGGATTCACCCGTGAGATGGCGTGGTTGTTCCATCTAGGATGAGGACGCGACATCCTATTAATTTCGTGCGATTGCTGGTAATAGGATGCCATGTCCTCGTCCTAGGTGAAACAGTCACGTCATCTCGCGGATGAATCCATTCATTGATAGTGTGGTTTTGTGAAACTACACTACCAAAATATATGTACTTAAGTGCCAGGTGTCAAAGTGTGTGTGGTTTTCTGCAACTTGAACTACAAAACATATAGTTTTGTGAAATTTACTCTAAATTTAATAACATCAATGAGCAACCAAAAACATATTATATAAGACCATAAGTAGTGTATCGCTATTAGGTTATTCCATATTTCACGTCACAATGTTGTCCTAGCAGTAACCAAAGTCGCTCAAGGACACAGCAGCTATGTATCAGAAACAAAGTGCTGTCCCTTCGAAGGAACTTCCACATAAAACAATCTATTCCAACTCTAGTTCACAATTAATCTATGAAGTTACTCTGTGAGTGTATAAAACACAAATAGGACAACCATGACAAAAGAAACAAGCTCTCTGGTGTAAAGCACCTAATTGCCATAGTGTATTTTACTCATCAATTGATCAACTAGCAGCTACCATCAAATTTTCATAGAAAGATTCAGGATATGTTGATGAACAAAAAGATCCAGAATTTAAGTGACTGAACAGGAAAATGTAGGTCAATTAAGCTGCTCAAGTTGCCAGCACTGATTCTTCATGTGAAAATAAACAAGAAATGTGAATCCTAAGCCACTGTAGTTCAACAGTAGCAAATCTATATAATTGCGCTACATAAGTATGCATACTATTAACACGACAAAGTTTACTCACAATTGGGCCATTTGCAATAGCATGCTCTTTTGCGAATTTGCATGCCTGCTTCACAGCAAGAACATCCATTCCATCAACCTACACCAAAGCAATTAGATGATGTCAGTGGCAGATATTAAGTAGAACTTAAACATAAAATGAAAAGATTTCAGTTGTCAATATAATTCAAAATAGGAAAGAAAGAAGAAAGAATGTGTCATCTCAAACTTAAAAGTACAAACCAAATGTATAATACCATAGACAATAAGCTACAGAAGATGAAATGCATTTAAAGAACAATTAACTTCAATCTACAAAGCTATAAACTAAGGTCACATCGAAATTGTCTTTAGGTAACCATTGTGATTTACAATCTTTTTTTCCAATACTTGTTAGAACAGATAGCACATGCTAAAAGCATCTATAACCTTCAACCAAGGCAGTCTCTTCTGCAACTCAAGAAATAGGCAGAGTCTTATGACTTATCAGGTCAGACTCTAAAATTAAAATCCACTGCAAGCAAATCACATATCACAATTGGGAACCAACATTACAAGAATACTAAACATTGATCAATCCAGTCACTACGATGAGCAAAAGTAACAACAGTGAGTTCACATCACCTTCAATCCAGGCACATAATCACCACGCTTGTAGTAGGCAGGGCTCTTTGCTGCCCTCCACTCAGCGGTTCCCATCCCATCTGCACAAGGGAAATCGAATCAAGATCATATCACATCAAATGAACAAGCAGATATCACGATGCAATCATGATTCCCAAAAGCGGCACAGGAACTCACAATGGTTGTTTTCGCAGACCAATATAGCTGGCAGCTTCCAAAGAGCCGATATATTGAGGGCCTCAAAGAGCTGGCCCTGGTTCGCGGCACCATCACCATAGAGGGCAAACGTAGCAGTTTCCTCTTTCCTATACTTCTGCGCGAAGGCGAGACCGCATCCAAGGGGAACCTGGGCGCCGACGATACCGTGGCCACCATAGAAATTGGCGTCCTTCTTGTAGAAATGCATGGATCCGCCCTTCCCGCGGGAGCACCCAGCCTGGCGGCCCATGAGCTCCGCGAACGCGGAGACGAGGTCGCCGCCGCGTGCGAGGTAGGTGCAGTGATCGCGGTACGCGGTGATGATGGAATCGGAGCGGGTGATGGCGGCCTCCATCCCGACGGCGACGGCCTCCTGGCCGTCGTAGAGGTGGCAGAACCCGCGGATGAGCTTGGCCTTATAGAGGGAATCCGCGGCGATCTCCATCCGGCGCATCACGGACATGTCGCGGAAGAAGGTGAGGAGCTCGGCCGGGGTGGTGGTGACGTCGCGCGAGGGCGGGTCGACGATGTGGGAGGTGAAGGGGACCGAGGTCTCGATGGTGAGCGGCGCCGTGGAGTCCGAGATCGAGCGCGCCGCGATGAGCGCCGTGGCCTGGGCCCGCGCGGGGGGGACGCGGCGGAGGAGGATGGCCGCAGCCATGGCTATGGCTGCCTAGGGTTTCGCGGCGGCGACGGCGAGGTGGATTTGGGGGTGGGTGGGGAGGAAGGAGATAGGAAGAGAGATTTTTCCTTGAGAAATTATCGTTGCGCTCTTAATAAAGAAATAAAGAATGGGGCTCGGTTGGTTGGTGTTGATGGGCTTCGCGGGCCTGCGGCGCATATTGCTCTCGGACAGTCGTGTGGGCGTAAAAAATTGCGAGTAATATATATACTTATCTCTGTGAAATTTTATTGGTTCAAACTGAGTTTGACTAGCATAAGATAATGGAGAAATTCGCGAGTTTAAAAAGTTGGTTAGACGACAATTGACGTCAGGATTTATTATTTTGAGCACAATCGCATCTGATGCACTTCCTTTTTTATTAGTATAGTAGAAGATGTTTTTATATGGAGTCTGATCTGTCTTCTTTAGGTTTTTTTTTTCTGGTTTTGTTGGTTGTATTGTCGTTGGAGCTAAATACATCTGGAGTTCTGGACAGTAGCCTATTAAAAATTCATCATCTTTGCGATAATTAAAAAATAATTATCACAGAATGATTGAATATAAATAAACAAGGGATAAATATGTAAAATTATAATTCCAGATCAGAAGAAACACATAATTACAGAGATATAAATGATTTTCCGAAGAAAAAATAACAATGAGAATTGGACTACAGTTAAAAGCAAGGAGACAAGAATTTGTTATGACGTGTCCCTGTCATGACGTTGGGAATATTATAGGTCATTATAAACAGGTGAAGGCAACCCCAGGCGATGGCGAGGGGGCAGTTCACTCGCAACGACTTGTTTCAATTAACCGTCGATCTCAAACATACTAGTTCAGCAATAAGATTGCATAATGCATAGTGCAAGCAACTAAGCAATGCTAGAATAGTACTACGAAATGTACAATGCTTTCTCTGACCAAATCCTTTCAGTGCAAAAATAGATTTGGGCTGTGTTTAGATCCGAAGTTTGGATCCCATCACATCAACCTATCATACACACAACTTTTTAGTCACATCATCTCTAATTTCAACCAAAATCTAAACTTTGCGCTGAACTAAACACAGCCTTGGGCTTTACATCCACTGGCAACTGCTGACAATTTTCAGGTATGTGTAATCATCCTTACAAATACACCTATGATTGCTAAAGTCTTTTTCTTTTTGATCTTAAACTACTACAGTACTACAATTACATTTTACACCATCTGGTACTCCTATTATACTGGCCTGGTAGGATGGTTTTTGACTACTTGAGCAGAGTTCTGTTTCTGCTTCAATTGTTACTGGTAACAAATTCGTAACCCCGCCGTTTGACTTATTCGTGGAATAAGCCAAATGGCATATTTGCAAATGGAATGTAATTTGTGGATATAATTTTTATATACGTGTTCTTAACAATTTAGAAACAAAGGCTGAAAAATAAATTCCAACATCAACTTCAAATTTAAGGTTAAAAATTTAAATTTTAACTAATAAGCATAAGCATAAGCGAAAAGATGAAGCCTTTGAAATGGATTCAAAGCCTCAGACAGCGTATAGTATATACAGAAAAATGAGGGATGCTGCATCGCAAGAATCTAGATGAACTGACAAACTTTAGAATGCACAAACGTAAGGAAAGCTTATAGCTAGATGAATTAACAGTTACATGCCTAACAATGAGGCGAGTTTATCTTTTGGACTGAATAGCCTGGATATTTCCTGCATTGAGTAAATACAATGGATCCTAGGCCTAGGTCATGTCTTTGTTCCCTCATTTTCTTGACAAATTGTACAGGTAAAATCCCAAGCACGCGGTAAGAAATACAGTGCTTGAGATTAATGATTTGACTACAAAAACTGGTTAATGACAGGCATGCCAAAGTGCTGCTGCATCATGCTGCTGCCTTGCGCAAATTCAGAGTACCACGATTTCCAGGCTTCCACATAATGAGCAAAAAGATCGCCCAATGCTGCATTCAGAAAATTGTGGAAGAAATCATGAGCAATTGAATTTATAACAGCATGGTTTCCAAAGTAAAATTGTCATATAGTACTCTACTTCCCTAGCTGCATAGATTATCCTAGTACTTTTAGTACAAAGAACTTGGCACCAAAGTCCAAAAAACTCATGCACCATTTAAGTGAAGCCAAGAAACAAAATATAGCAAAGGCTGAAGATCCTATTGATATATGTGTATGCAATTTATTTCAGCTAGAAACTAGTATCAAAACTAACAAAGTTACAAGCAAAAACTCAGGGAACAAACACCAGTGATATAGCTCAAATCTACCAGCCAATATTACAGAAACTATGTAAACTTTCATGAAATCAAATAGAGCATATAAAGCATTTGCAAGATTCATTTTCTATGGTTGATTTTTCAATCCACATGTTTCACTTTCTATCAGTATGTTCAACTTAAATCACTTGAAAAAAGATGTCAACTGGTAGGAAACAGATCCACTGAAGGCTTGATGCTGTAACTTCAGAGTGGCATGGTATATCAATATCAGTTAGAGACAGGCCAACAAAGTGGGCTGTAACTTCAGCTAGAAGCCTAGAAACATGTTATAGTACTCCTCACAGAACCAGAGACAGGCTTTTTCCTACCCAAGTCATATTCCATAAGAACAAAATAACCTTTTTTTTGTCTAAGAGATGGAATAAGATCATGGAATTCTTGTAAAGGGTCAAAGAAGAGTTTAACCCACCTTGGTTCTGGTATTGTGGTCGAAATGAAGCAGCAAGGCTCTCCCAGTTTTGAACATTATCTGTGTGTCCTTTATTACCATTGTCAAGCTCTTGTTTTCTTGCACCAGCAGGGTGGAAAGGCCCATAAACAAAACCACCCTTGCTACCCTGCCCGAGCTGTTTCTGCACTGACAATTTGCAGTTCTTCAAAATTTCACCACCACTCAGTGTCAGCTTTGCTTTCTTTGGGATTGTTGAGTCCAGTCTGCTTCTGTTTATGTCAATGTTAGTGAGTTCAGTCCCAAATGCTCTCTTGTTCGATATGGTCTTCCCTGGTGGAGGTACTGCGATTGTGACACCATTTTCAGCTTTTGGTTTCCCCGCTGAGCCCAACCACCGGAATGCAGGTTTCCTTGAGTCTGCCTGTTGTATCTGGAAGCCATAATTCAATAGCAAGTGTTAAGAAACAGGTTCTAACTCATCATTTAACTACATCCTATAAGTAAATGTATGAACCCCACCTTATCAATGAAATTCAGTGATGACAGCACGTTAGCAATGTCATACAGTCTCCGGACTTTAGCTGCATCACAAATACAAGAAAGAAAAGTATTAGCTTTTTTCCCCCTTTCACTAGGATTACTACAAAAGGTTGCATAATTCAGTATAGGAAATGGCAGTACTGACTTCTCATACTGTTCTCTGCGTGACCTTCTCCAAGTAGCAGCTTTGCAGCTTCATCAAGTGAGATTGTGTCAACCTGCTCCGAGATCCCATTTCATAACAATTACTCCAAGAGCATTACATATTTTGATATTTACAACAGAATCAAAGACGCCAGCAATTGCTTACCTCCATGGTCAGGAAGAGTTTCACGAAATTCTGCGTGAGCAACCCAAGCGACTTCTCCTTCCTATGGTCTGCAAATGTAAACCAAAATACTGAGTTTGACACAACAAAATGTAGCTGTAGCACAGGCAGTAAACTAGCACTAAAAAAATTAAGCCGTACCAGATCTAAGCCGGCAGCGAGGTGCGCCTGGCTTGTTGTCAGAAGGGTTGTCAACTGGTTGACTCAGCTTCTCGCTCTCGGTATCACCATCAGCGTCACCCATCTTATCTTCATCTTCGTCATCCGACATCTTCACATCACCGAATAGAAGAAATGAAAATTTTGGTTGAAAAAATAAATTCTGGCAGATAGCTCGATTCAAATGTTCTTGAGAAAGATAAAGATAAGATAGCATACAATGGCTGCAGACGGCTCCTCCACGGGCAGAGGAGCCAATCCAGACTTCTCTCTCAATGCCCTCTCCTGATAAAGCCAAGAGGAAGAAAAGAAGACGCTTTAGGGGTAAACTGTTTGTATGTCACTTAAATGGTTATAAAAAAATTTGAAAAAAATTGGAAAAGTGTATTAACATGTGATATAACACTCCACAAACATACAAGTTCAAATTCAACTTCTACATCTCGTAACGAAAAAAAACAAATTGAACCGCAGCTAGTTAACGTATATCCAGAGTCAAATTTGTTTTTTTTTCGTTGCGAGATGTAGAAGTTGAATTTTTACTTGCATGTTTGTGGAGTGATATATCATATATTAATACATCTTCTTAATTTTTTTCAAATTTTTTTATAACCATTTGAGTGACATGCAAACAACGAGAGGATATCCCCTCGAGGGATCAAAATCCTCTTCCACGCTTTAGATGCATTAGACCAACAGTTTCTTGCAGAATTATCACATGGAATGGCAACACAAACCTTGAGTTCTCGCAATGCCATTGGGACGCCGCCGAAGCCTATCCAAGAATAACGATTCTTGGCCTTCCTCACGAGGATCTTCTCACAGATGAATCGAAAACAAATGTCAGAATCAAATCGAGCAAGAAAGAACAAGAACCCTGTCCAGGAAAGGCGGAGGAAGAAGGAACTCACCCCTACGCTCTCGAGCACGTTGACGATGTCGTAGATCCGGCGCCTCTCCACGCCGAGCCTCCTAGCCGCGTCGTCCAGCCCGATAGACTCCACGTCGTCGCGGTTGTACAGAGCGACGAAACTAGAAAACGCACAAAAAAATTCGGTAAGAACAGGGAACCAAAACGCCAAAATCCACGAATCCCCCAGATGCACGAGAGATCCCCACTTGGAGCAGAGGAGGCCGAGCGACTTCTGCTTGCGGCTGTAGGCGTGGTCACGCAGCTTCCCGCCTCTGCCCTCGACGAACACCGGCTGCTGGCGTTGCGGGAGAGAAGGCACCGCCTCCGTCATAACCACAGCCTCCGCCGCGTCGGCCGGCGAAGACGAGGGTACAGCAGCCATCACCGCCGCCGTCGCCATCGATTCTGCTCGCGAGGATTGGATCTTGGTGCGTCCGCGGGTGGGAGAGGAGAGGGAATTCTCGCGGAAGTATTATAGATGGATGGATCTGGACGGGTTGCGGGAGGCGCCGGCCGTTGAAACGAATCTGAAGAGGAGAGGGGGCTTTGATTTGGCGCGGCGGTGGCGGTATCGCCTCGTTTCAAAAATTCTCTCGCCGCGCAAGGGCTGGGTCGAGTGCACGCCGCGCCTACCACCAGCAACCCGGGTGGCTGACAGGTGGGGTACTCGGTTTCTCTCGCGCTAACTCCGCTTTCCATGGCCCCATGCGTCAGCGGCAGATGGGAGATTTGAATGAGCGCGCGTGGTCCCAGGTGGGAGGCCCACTTGCGGTCGGACCCATGTGTCGGTTAGTGAAGAGGGGGTGGAGGAGCTGACGCGGAGGCACACGCGCCCTGTTTGAAATTTAAGCGGCGGCCGCGCGCGGCGTGCGCGTGCGTGCCCGAGCAAACACCGAGAGGCGGTTTTGTGAGGCGCGGGGCGGAGGAAATGGGGGCAAACAGGCGTGTGATTTGGGGGGGTTTTGCGCGGTGGCGGTGGACGCGCGCGGCGCGGGCACGGACGGGGGCGCGGGCGATTTGGCTATTTTTCCCCACGGTTGGTGGGTCGGGGCGGGTGTTTCGAGGGGATTTGTTTAGGGAGCGGCACGTGGGTGGTGTGAGATGGCGCGGGGGAGCAGAGGCGCGGCATGGCCTTCTTCGCTGGAATCGGATCAGGAATACGGTGATGGTTTTGGGTCCACGACTCCACGTTTAGGGTGGAGCCGAAGCCGATGCAATCCGGCAACAGCGGCACAGCGGTGTGCAAAGGGACAAGCACAAGCTGCACAAAACTGCGGACACAGCGCAAACGTCAAGCACAGCTTCGCCACCTCCGCTGTGCCTTTTGCTGCGTTGTGGAAAGTGCCAAGTTGACCCCGCTAGCATAGTTGTCGAGTCTTGAGTGTACTGTACTACTGCATTGTCTGTTCTCGGTTCTCTTCACTGCTGATCTGCTCGTATGGTCTGGGTAAAATCCTGGGATTTTGTATGTGAAACTAATATCTGAACAATTCCAACAGGCCTTAATCGGAAAAGAAAAACTCAGGCAGGTACTTTCATCGTAGGTCCAGGGACTCCAGGCTGATCCGTGCGAATTATGGGCCGGTCTCTTGACAGATTATTGTGTTGTAATAATGGGCCAGACCTTCCATGGGCCTAGGACTTCTCTTAGGGCAAGAGCAAATGCGTCACGGTATTTGTTCAGCCTGGGGCTGGCACATTGGATGGAACTTGTACCAAGCAACTTAACCCCACAGTGCAAGCTAATTGAACTGGGCCCCACCAACATCATTTTTTCATCTTTCCCCCCCCCCCCCCCTCTCTCTCTCTCTCTCTTCTTTACCTTTCCCAAAAATTCCAATCCATCCCCTCCCAACCGATTCCTCTCCAGTCTCCGGGCGATCCCGTCGGCGGACTTGGCCACGTCTCCTCTCGCGTGCCCCCGCCGCCTCGTCCGCGTCTTCCTCGCCGCCGACCGGAACTGCACGGGTCGGGGCGCGGCGCGGCACTGGCAAGGCTCGCCAGATCCGACAGCCGTGGCTCGTCGAGGAGCGGCGTGGCGGCGGCGAGTCTCGACGACAGCGTGGCAGCTCGCCAGATCCAAGTGGCAACGACTCGTCGGGGCGCGGGGCGAGAATGGCCGTGGTCGTGGCTTCGTCGCCGTCGCACTGCCCTCCTCGCCTGCACCGGCGAGCCCCTCCCTCTCTCTCTCTCTCTCTCTCTCCATGGGTGTGGATGCGATTCTTTGATTTCTCTGTGAAAACGCTGACGAGGTACTCGGAACCAAACAAGGTCACACGAACCTGGTTGAGACATGGGTCCCACCCCCTTTTCTTCTCCACGTATGCAATCTGCCTAGGTGGAGAGTGGAGGCCAAGTGCCACGTAGATGCACAGTGAATGGCCTTGAGCAGTAGAGGTACTAGCTATGCCCTGTTTTCAAACGGTACAAATTCTCCCCCAAATGAATCTGCAGTTATAGTCTATAGAATCTTTAAAAAATAAATTAGAAATATGTAGTCATAGAATTAAAAAATAAACTATAAATAAGAAACTAAGAAATACGTATTCTCACCTCACCAAATGGTTACTCGTGCCTTCCGAACAAGACTTTAAATGCCACCCACCAACCATTTTAAACAATAACGCCGAGTCGAGACTCGAGAGTGAAAAGGCACAGAAGCACTGCTCATAACTGAAATCACTCGGGCAGTAATGCCGTTATGTCAAGTTGTCAACACCTTCAGAGTTCAGAAAGAAGGCAAAGAAAACTCACGAGCACAGAAGCTGTTTTATCCAAACTATTTACAGGATACATTCATAGCTTCGTACAGAAACACGTTGTGCCTACATTCTTATAAACGGAAAAAAAATAAAACAGTTCTGAAGTACCACGGCTGCGCGGGACAAAAGATAATGGCCAATTGTCAAGCCCAACTCCACCAGCAGGGTTTCATGAACACGGTTACTGTATCCTCATTCTCCATTTCTCGGTGAGGCTGTATAATCCGAATCCCTGATAATTAGTGAGGATCCAGCTCAAGAAACGAGTTCTACCTCAGGATCTATGCTTTGCAATACTGCAGTGACTATGCTTTGCAATAGTGCAGTGACTCCCGTAGAACACCATGATCCATGCACACCACGCGCTTTCAGTTCCGGCTCCAACAAAGGAAAAAAAACCCTCAGGAAGTCTCAGAGAAAGAGAGAAAATGTTGCTACCTTCATGCTTATGTATGTTCTAACTTGAGCAGCTCACACATCAAAGAAAATGTCTTTGTCGTGCCTAGCCCATCCTGAAGAAATTAGGATAGGAAAAACAATAATTAGTTGCCAAGTAGCTGAGCAGAAAGTAATGGTATTAGAAAAACATATTGGGAATTTGAAGTGTAGGTTGGTGGGAAATGTGAAGGAATACCAGTCTGAAGAAAAGGAATTTTCAGCTAGGATACAATGGACCTATATAATGTTGACATGCCACTAGCATTTAAATCATTATAATGCTATGTATTACATACAAAAGGTATTACTTTTCTGCTGCTATGTTAGTATCCACTACCAGCTAGGTCTCCATAAAAATCTGATTGGACAACTAATGTTTATATCTATGGACACTAATTAAGTTGTAGAGAAATGTTGTTATGCCATAATTAGCCAATAATTACCTTGACTTTGGTAAAGTCAAATCCTTTCTTCTGCCTTCCTGAGCAGTCGCTGTTCTCGCAGCAGACGAAATGTTCGGCTCAGCTAACGGGTTGGTGACAAAACCACCCTGAACTCCAAACTTTTGCCTTCCCCACTTGTAAGAAGTTCTGCTCCCCTCCGAACTGTTTCGACCATCAGAGACAGAAAAACTAGAAGAGTATCTACTAGCATCATGACGCCTCCAGAATTTTGGGTTCAGAATGCAGCATGAGTTGACATGAGCTTCGCTGTTTGATGTCCTTCCTGACGAGGCAGCTAAATCTCGGGAGATTTCATCCAATGCCATCTCAAGTCCATGTACCCTTGTCTCCAAAGAATTCATGCCATTCTCAGATTTCCCCATAAATTTCTGATAAACAAGAGGAACACAAATGTCAGATGACCTTCCAATAAACATGGATGGTATGAGAACCTTGTAGCATGAACTACTGTGTATAATTCCCAGAGTGAATACTGACTATATGGGTTGCAATTTAACATATCAATTGATGCATGGCAATTTAACAGATGCGAGTACAGCCAGCAGAAAGATAAAGTGGTTCTTCTGGACTGTGAGATTTAAAATAGTGATAAACTGATAATTTGCATATTAAAACATAGTGATATAGCACATGTCATGTTGCTGTTCCAGGTTCCCCCCCCCCCCCCCCCACACACACACACAACAAAAAAAAATACCATGACATTGCTAAATGTTCAAAATACATTGATTTGACTAGTGGGATGAAGACATTCAAGTGGCAATTATACATGATGCACACAGTAGCAATACCTGTCTGGCATATGCAACAAGACTCCTGACCACCGACAATTTAGAGCATGACTTAACATGCCCATTCAATAGTCAATGCAATGAGAAGTGGGCTTTACCCTTCTACTTATTAGTCTGCACAGAAGTTTCATGGCTACAAGCCCTAGCAAGGAATGTCTAGTGTACTTACAGCATGTTTTTGAAAGGCCAAAAATCGAACTGTACTGAAAAAAAACATGCCTCTGTATTTATAGCAAATGCACCTTTCTTGTTAATGAACATGTACTGAACAGACCATAAAAGATTAGTAGAGCTACTGTGAACATGTACTGAACAGACAGCCAACACTGGCTAGCGTTGTCATTTAAATATGAATGATCAAGAGCCTAGCTGAATTAAATTGTACAATGTAAGGTCAAGCCAAGCAAAGGAAATCACCTGGATAAGATCTAGTAAACTGCTCTGCTGATTTTCAATCTGAAGCAGTTGTGACCGAATCTCTGACAATCCCTCGTCTTTGTAACCTGTCTGAAACCTCTCTGATCCGCCACCAATCTCAGAAATTTCTTCCATGTTACCACCCTCCTCATATGGAACGACTCGTGATCCTGCTTTCAGTCCAGCCACCTTGGTCGCCCTGTCATCGCCATCCTGGAAAAGCATCCTCCTTGCTTCCAATCTTGATCTCACATTGCCTCCTTTCAGAAGCTTCTCCTCTGTCACCACTTTGATTGGGGTGGCATCTGGTGTAACAGCAATGTCAACCTTGTAATCACGGTTCTTCGCTTGGCCCGCCTTGCGATATGAAGGAGGTGATTGCTTCTTGTTTCTAGCTGATGAAGAGCTATGCCTTTTGTTGACACTGGGTGAGGCATCAGGAGGAGGCGACCTGCTTGCAGGTAGACTATTCCTCCTGGTCGACGATGCAACCGGATATCGCCCATCACTTGCACTCCCTATAGAATCCAGCACATGGCCAACTGTTCAGAGTTCAGTTTATACAAATCTAATAGCAGTAAAATAAAATCATCCTCTTTATTTTGATCTTTATCAAAAGCACTTGATTCCTTTTGTTCCTTTTACTCGCAACATACAGGATTACAAGAGTCCAAGCTAAATTACCAGATCTGAGTAACAAAAGTAGCAACAAAAGCAGCAATTAGAACTACAGAATAACAACACAGCTCCAAAATAGTAAATAACCTGCAAGAGAAGATCGTCGTTGAGAGTGCGATGCCGGTGGCGCACCGGAGGAGCATTCGTCCTCTTCAACATCCGGGATCTCCTTCCATGCCTCGATCATCCTGTTCATCGAATCTCGCACAATCTTGACCTGCATTGCCAAACAAGAACACGAAAAGACTCAAACCCTACGCTCAGATCCAGAAAAAAGATGAAACCGCCAAGATCCATACCGAGATAAAGAAAGGGAACCAACCTTGTCAAACCTCCTGGCCTCGAACATGGTGATGCAAGAAGATTTGTAGCTGACGAGAAGATCCTTATGTTCTAAGGCCAATGCAGCAAGAGCCTCGGCCGCGGCCTTTCTCGCCGCCCAGTCGTCGCTGGCGATTGTGTCGCGGAGGCACGGGACAGAGGCGGTGACTTCAGCGGCGCCGGCCGCGGATGCAGAGACGCCAATGAGAGAGATGAGCGCGGGCTTGGCTTTGAAGGCATTGCTGCGGAGGAGCTTGAGGAGGCGGGGTTGGAGCTTGTGGATGTAGGAAGCGAGGTCGGCGGTGGGGGCCGAGGCCTCGACGGCGGCGGCCGTGGCGAGCGCGGCCGCCGTCTGCGCGCACTGGTCCTGCTCGTGGAGGAGCGCGTCGGTGAGGGGTCGGAGCGCCGGGGAGGCGGAGGCGGACGCGGCCGCCGCCGCGCGCGCGGTGTCGACGAGCGCGGCGCGCACGGAGGAGTCCTGGTCCCGGACGCGGCGGAGTGCGGCGGCGAGGATGCGCGGGACGAGCGGCGCCACGGCGTCGCGCGGGTGCGCCGCGGCGACGAGCGCGAGCGCCCGCAGCGCGTGGCGGCGGAGCGGGGTCTTGTCGGTGGGGCGCGCGTCGGACACCGCCGAGACGAACGCCCCGAGCTCGTCCGCGGCCAGCGCCCGCGCGATGGCCTCCAGCTCCGCGGCCGCCATGGCCTCCGTGTCGCGGTCCGACAGCTTGAGGAGGCACCTGTTCACCCGCAGCTTCAGCGGCTCGCCGCCGCGCGCCCGCCCCGCCGTGCCCATGGCCCTCTCGCTGCGGTGCGCCTACTCTGGCTTGGCGAGACGAGACGCGACGCGACGCCAAGATATTGGCGGCGTGGGCTGGGAGGAGTTAGCGGGTCGCGGCGTGGAGTGGCATGGAAGCCAGCGGAGCCACTGGCCAGTGATGTCCGATAGGTGGCGGGTGGGGCGTAGGGGCGTAGCGGACGGAGCGGCGCGTTTATTTATGCCGCTGCTTTGTTTTACTCTTTTTTTTCCTCGTTAACTTTTTCTCTTTGTTATGGGAGAATAGCTATTTAGTGCCTAAAGTTTCTCTGTAGGATCAGTTTAGTCCCTAACCTTTTAAATGGTTAAAAAAAATCCTTAAACTTTGTTATAAGGTCTAAAATAGTCCTTGGGTCCACCAAAATCATTATATAAATATGCCATGTCATCATTGATGCAAAATCTATGACGAATTGTCCAATTTACCCTTACGTATATCATAGAAAAATAAATATAAGGGTGAATTAGACATAACCATGGGAAAAAATACTTATCTTTTTTTCACCCTTTTGAGGTATATTTTTGCTCTTACATTTTACCTTTTGTTTTTTATTTTCCTATGATATATGTAAGGGTAAATTGGACAAATCATATAGATTTTGCATAGGAATGTGACATGGTATGTCTATGTGGCGATTTTGGTGGGATCAAGGACTATATCAACCCACGTGACAAAATTAAAGGACTTGTTTGGACAATATGAAAGATTAAGGACTAAAATGACCCAGGAGCAAAATTTTAGGGACCATATTAACTATTCTCCCCTTCGTTTTTCTTCTTTCACTTTGCACAAGAGCAGCCTTTTTTCCGGTTCACTAATTTTAGCTGGGAATACCCATATCTCTGCAACCTGAATATTGGATGGACATCGCCGTACCATACAGTAACACACTAACACGGGTGTCCCTTGTAGATGTGTGTCGGATCAGCCAATGGAAGCAAGGCAGGATGAACAGTACTGCCACCTGTATTTGGCTTGATCGGCACATACAAAAACAACTTATAGTTGCGCTTTTTGTGATTATTACTAGTAACAACTTGATACGTACCACACTCTTTGCTGTTTGTGGCCAATCCAGTTATTTCTGAAATAAAAAGGGCACACTTTTTTTAGATTTTTTTTAAAATACAGTACAAATGCGTAGGTGCTTATAATACGGGCACACATTCACGTTCTATTATGAGCAGCTCTGAAAGAGGCATACACTATAAAAAAAGGATTTTGCAAGTTTATACTACTGGTGATTGGAGAGACTTATAATCAAACGAGCTTAGTCCAAATCATTTGAGTTATAACCAGACTATCTATTTAGGGGGGGGGGGGGGGGGAAACAAGAACAAAACAGACAATGCCAAGAAGCTACACGTCATTCCTACCGCTTGATGACTGATCTTGACATCCCAACATAAGCAATCTAGAGACATTTCCGCCATGTTTATTTGATGGGAAAAGAGCTTATTCGTGCGAATTTCTTACGGAACTCGTATGCTAAAAACAAACTATATGCCTGTATACTCTCCCTTGAAAAATATAAGTACTACTGGCTATTTCTTACATAGAAAAAAATCTTACATTTCCAAACATATGGAGTATTTATTTCTTCACTTAAGGGCATGTTCTTTTTAGCTAACATGGCACACTTCTTAACTCTGCTACGATTTTTGTATAATATCTCTTCATCAACAGTATTTAGAAATCATTTTTAAATCAACTTTTCAACTTTCTAAAATTTAATTTATTCGTTTGTGCCATTGAATAATTATCATAAACTCAATTTTATCCACAATCCTTCATCCATCGGTACCTTTTAACCTACTTCCTACATTTCATATTATAAGTTGTTTTGACTTTGGTTAAAGTCAAACTACTTCAAATTTGATTAAGTTTATAGACAAATATAATAATATTTACATTACTAAATTAGTTTCACCAAATCAATAATTAAATATATTTTTATAATAAATTTGTCTTGAGTTGAAAATGTTACTATTTTTTTCTACAAACTTGAAGCATTTTGATTTTGACCAAAGTCAAAATGACTTATAACCAGAACCAGAACAGGAGGGAGTAGGTAATAAAGAGCACTAGCAATTAGCAATAGTTGAATTTAAAAAATAATCATAGCTTTAAATTACATGTCAATAGTATCATAAAATTTTGCTTAAAATAGAAGTTTAGACTTAAAGTTTTGCTTAAAATAAGTAGAAGTTTAGACTTCATATTTGATTACTTGTACATTTGATAGCAAAATTACTCCCTTCATTCTACAATATAAGACTTTCTAATATTGCCCACATATATATATAGATGTTAATGAATCTAAACACATACATATTTCTAGATTCATTAACATCTAAATGAATATGAGCAATACTAAAAAGTCTTACATTGTGAAATGGAGGAAGTACAAAACAATATAAACGAATAACATAAAAAGAAGGCATACAAGGTTAAATTCTCCATACATGAACATCAATCAAACAAAATAATGGTCCAAGAAAGCACTAGCAGACTACAATAGTGATCGCTATGTAATAGCAACAGCTAAGGGATCATTTGGTACAACTCCTATTTTGAGGGTAGAGCAAAGTTAAGGATCGGTGGAAATGCTACTCCACCCTCGTAATAAAATTTTCAGAAGCACAATGGCAGCTCGCTCTATATTATTCAGGGCCTCAAAAGTTTTTGATACTGCTCTAACCCATGGATAGAAATCCTGGAGTATGAGGTGTACCAAACTAGCTCTATATTACAATACTTTGTCTCCGATCCACTATGGTTATAGCAGCCACTATTAGAGTTAGTACAAACGCTATTTATTATCTGGTTTATAACACACCCTAACATCACCACTAGAATTGGATATTTAACCAAAGGTTCAAGGGGCGTCGAGGAGCAATTATTTGTAAAATTCATGCGTAGTTCACGTGAAGTTTGTAGTACAAAGCTAAAGAGGGTTTCACGGCCAGAATCCGAACGCGTAACAGAAAAACAGAATGGAATGATGGGATCAGAACCCTTCAGCGCAGGCCACCGGTACAAGGTATTCATGCCAGGATGAGGATGCCACACCGGTAGTACATGGTATTCATGCCAGTATGCCACCCACAACACGCTGCAATGCTTTACCAACCAATCTTACCCCGGACTCACGCGCGCCCACGCCCACTGCCAGTCTGCCACGCATAAATGATTTCCTGTTCTTCTACCGCCCTACACGGAGTAAACCACACTGTAATTCTACTACTCGTACGCCTACGCTGTTTTCACTCCGCGCATAGCCTGCCTACTCGCCCCGTCGATCCGGAAGAGGAGGAAACGCGCGACGCGATGCGATCTTACACGCAAAACGCAACCAACCGAACCGGTCCGATAGCCGTGAGGGCCGCGACGAAACGCCCATCCATCTTCGAGAATTTTTAGAATTCGCCACCTAATACGCACTACTTTCAGGACGTACCATCTCGTGCTGTTTTTAGAAAACACCACCAAAGTGCGAATTTTCTTTATTCCGTGCCACTCCGTCCCTCGGCGTCAGCTGCGTCGTCGTCGTCTGTTTGCCGCTGCCAGCCCCGCGTTATCCCCCTCCGTTGTCCACTCATCCTCCTCCACAACAGCTCGTCTGACTTCCGTGTTGTCGTCCATCTGCCGCCGCTGCCGTCCTCAGCCGTGCCATCGTCCGTCCGACCGCCGCCGCTGCCGCCGTCGTCGTCCTCCGCCACCGCCCGCCCCCACGTCTATCACGTCGTTGTCGTTGTCATCATCATCGTCCGTCCGCCACCACCATCGTCGTCATCGTCGTCGTCATCATCATCGTCCGTCCGCCACCACCGTCGTCATCATCGTCGTCCTGTGGAGCTCACGACCCACCTGCAGAGCTCCGCCTCGAGTGCGCCCGCAGCGGTGGCCGCGTGTGCCCACAGCTGTGGCAGAGGACGACGATGATGATGGCAGCGGCGGCAGATGACGCGAGGCAGGTTGTGGTGGAGGCGGCAGGCGGACGATGGTGCGGCAGACGCGGGGCAGGCTGTGACGAAGGACGACGATGACAACGGCGGACGGTCGACAGCGCGGCAGACGCAGGGCGGGCGGTGGCGGAGGATGATGATGACGATGACGGCAGTGGCGGACGGACGACGATGATGATGATGACGACGACGACGACAACGACGACGACGCGGCAGACGTGGGGGCGGGCGGTGGCGGAGGACAATGGCAGCAGCCGGACGGACGACGGCGCGGCTGAGGATGACGGTGGCGGCTGACAGACGACGTCGCGGAAGTCAGACGAGCAGTTGTGGAGGAGGACGATGGCGGGGGATAACGCGGGACGGGCAACGGCGGACGGACGACGACGGAGCAGCTGACACCGAGGGACGGAGTGGCATGGAACGAAGAAAATTCGTACTTTGGGGCGTTTTTTGAAAACAGCATGAATTGGATGGCATATCCTGAAAATAGTGTGTATTGGGTGGCGAATTCTGAAAATTCTTATCTATTTGGACCAAGATTTCCGTTTGGGCATGACTGGGTGATCGGCACGCGACGCTGCGGCCTGCGCACCTTTGGCTTTGCGCTGCTGCATGCGCATCCAAACCGGGCGTCAAAGCAAAAAAAGCACGGTTTTGTGTACATATGTAGCAAACGAAAGCAAGGCTTTCAACGCTCCGTCCGCTTTAAAGTTATAAACGGCATCGAGTGAGCATCTTTTACTACATGTATATATATACATCCGAAAAGCACCGAAGGCAACACAATAGCAGGTCATTAGTCATTACTCTATCCGTTTCACAATGTAAGTCATTCTAGCATTTTCCACATTAATATTGATGTTAATGAATCTAGACATATATATCTATATAGATTCATTAACTTCAATATGAATGTGGGAAATGTTAGAATGACTTACATTGTGAAACGGAGTAAGTACATAGTAATACGCCACCCACATGCAGAGATGATTGCGTTTGGATAATCGCCATGCAATGTGCTTGGACCAGGACTACTAAGCCTCGGCAATATTATTAGTCCACATGACGATTTGACGGTAGTTACACCACAACGAGGTACAGTACTGCCTGTGGAACATGTATGCACCAGAGTTCAGATTCTTGCCAGGATCTCGTCAAACAGTAGGAACGTACATACACCTCTGACCCCCG